TTTATTTTTCAAGAATATCTTTTTAAGTTTTTTTTTACTAAAATATTCTTTAAATGAAAATTTTGTAATTTTTCTCAAATTTTAATTTTTTTTTATATGAAAAGTCAATCCAGTCAGTTTATTAATAGAGAAAGTAACGAATACAGAACTTTGAAGTAGTACACTAGGAAAAAAGACTATATTGTAGTCAAAACTATGGACCAGAACATTGACTAGACTTTAGTCCAAACTATAGACTAGATAGTCCAGTCTAAAGCCTAGACTATAGTTAAGACTATCGACCAGATTTCAGTTAAGACTACAATCTAGTCGAGTCTATAGCCTAGACTATACTCCAGTCTATAGGCTCTATAAACATTAGTATATTTATATTCCTCCTAAAATCGCATGAGTCAAAAAAGTCAGCCATTAGACAGACAACCACGTGTCTGTGTTGACCATATGAGAAAAATTTAGGTTGCCTCATGATTTATGAAAATCAATTTATAAACAAATTTTTGTTTCTAAAATATAATCGGAATATTTTATATATATTTATATCTATATAATAAAAATAGATATAAAAAAAACGAAATATTATAAAGAAAACAATAACAATTAACTAAAACATCATAATTATAACACACGTCTAAAATATTAACAAAAGAAATTTTTATAAAAAATCAAAACAACGCAAAATTTTTTCACATTAAAAATAGCAACTAATAAAAATTTCTCAACATCACACTAATAACATAAAACTAAGAAAAATAGTTCAACCCGAAAATTTATTTTATAAAAAGATGAAAACATTAGCAACAAAATTGCGGTTGTCGTTGTAAATTTTCTTGTGAATAGTTTTTTAAAAAATCTCGAAAGTATTATGGAGAAATTTCCATTTCAAATAGTAACAGGTTCACAGAAATTTTAGAGAAATATTTGTTTGCTGCAAAAAAGGAGAAATGTGCTATAATATACATATATTTGTTAGAAATAAGAATATAATTTTGCTCATTTTAGAGGAATTATACATTACACTATATCCCTACAACTAAAGTAGTTTAATCTCATATGGATATGATTTGAAATCCAATTTAAAGTTCAGATTTAGTTCGGTTCTAGTTCAGTTCAGTCTAGTTACAGTTCTAGTTCAGTTCTAGTCAGTTCTAGTCAGTTCTAGTTCAGTTCTAGTTCAGTTCTAGTTCAGTTCTAGTTCAGTTCTAGTTCAGTTCTAGTTCAGTTCTAGTTCAGTTCTAGTTCGTTCTAGTTCAGTTCTAGTTCAGTTCTAGTTCAGTTCTAGTTCAGTTCTAGTTCAGTTCTAGTTCAGTTCTAGTTCAGTTCTAGTTCAGTTCTAGTTCAGTTCTAGTTCAGTTCTAGTTCAGTTCTAGTTCAGTTCTAGTTCAGTTCTAGTTCAGTTTCTAGTTCAGTTCTAGTTCAGTTCTAGTTCAGTTCTAGTTCAGTTTCTAGTTCAGTTCTAGTTCAGTTCTAGTTCAGTTCTAGTTCAGTTCTAGTTCAGTTCTAGTTCAGTTCTAGTTCAGTTCTAGTTCAGTTCTAGTTCAGTTCTAGTTCAGTTCTAGTTCAGTTCTAGTTCAGTTCTAGTTCAGTTCTAGTTCAGTTCTAGTTCAGTTCTAGTTCAGTTCTAGTTCAGTTCTAGTTCAGTTCTAGTTCAGTTCTAGTTCAGTTCTAGTTCAGTTCTAGTTCAGTTCTAGTTCAGTTCTAGTTCAGTTCTAGTTCAGTTCTAGTTCAGTTCTAGTTCAGTTCTAGTTCAGTTCTAGTTCAGTTCTAGTTCAGTTCTAGTTCAGTTCTAGTTCAGTTCTAGTTCAGTTCTAGTTCAGTTCTAGTTCAGTTCTAGTTCAGTTTAGTCAGTTCTAGTTCAGTTCTAGTTCAGTTCTAGTTCTAGTTCAGTTCTAGTTCAGTTCTAGTTCAGTTCTAGTTCAGTTCTAGTTCAGTTCTAGTTCAGTTCCAGTTCAGTACTAGTTCAGTTCTAGTTCAGTTCTAGTTCAGTTCTAGTTCAGTTCTAGTTCAGTTCCAGTTCAGTTCTAGTTCAGTTCTAGTTCAGTTCTAGTTCAGTTCTAGTTCAGTTCTAGTTCAGTTCTAGTTCAGTTCTAGTTCAGTTCTAGGTCAGTTCTAGTTCAGTTCTAGTTCAGTTCTAGTTCTAGTTCAGTTCTAGTTCAGTTCTAGTTCAGTTCTAGTTCAGTTCTAGTTCAGTTCTAGTTCAGTTTCTAGTTCAGTTCTAGTTCAGTTCTAGTTCAGTTCTAGTTCAGTTCTAGTTCAGTTCTAGTTCAGTTCTAGTTCAGTTCTAGTTCAGTTCTAGTTCAGTTCTAGTTCAGTTCTAGTTCAGTTCTAGTTCAGTTCTAGTTCAGTTCTAGTTCAGTTCTAGTTCAGTTCTAGTTCAGTTCTAGTTCAGTTCTAGTTCAGTTCTAGTTCAGTTCTAGTTCAGTTCTAGTTCAGTTCTAGTTCAGTTCTAGTTCAGTTCTAGTTCAGTTCTAGTTCAGTTCAGTCTAGTTCAGTTCTAGTTCAGTTCTAGTTCAGTTCTAGTTCAGTTCTAGTTCAGTTCTAGTTCAGTTCTAGTTCAGTTCTAGTTTCAGTTCTAGTTCAGTTCTAGTTCAGTTCTAGTTCAGTTCTAGTTCCGTTCTAGTTCAGTTCTAGTTCAGTTCTAGTTCAGTTCTAGTTCAGTTCTAGTCAGTTCTAGTTCAGTTCTAGTTCAGTTCTAGTTCAGTTCTAGTTCAGTTCTAGTTCAGTTCTAGTTCAGTTCTAGTTCAGTTCTAGTTCAGTTCTAGTTCAGTTCTAGTTCAGTTCCAGTTCAGTTCTAGTTCAGTTCTAGTTCAGTTCTAGTTCAGTTCTAGTCAGTTCTAGTTTCAGTTCTAGTTCAGTTCTAGTTCAGTTCTAGTTCAGTCTAGTTCAGTTCTAGTTCAGTTCTAGTTCAGTTCTAGTTCAGTTCTAGTTCAGTTCTAGTTCAGTTCTAGTTCAGTTCTAGTTCAGTTCTAGTTCAGTTCTAGTTCAGTTCTAGTTCAGTTCTAGTTCAATTCTAGTTCAGTTCTAGTTCAGTTTCTAGTTCAGATCTAGTTCAGTTCTAGTTCAGTTCTAGTTCAGTTCTAGTTCAGTTCTAGTTCAGTTCTAGTTCAGTTCTAGTTCAGTTCTAGTTCAGTTATCTAAAGATTAACATATTATGACACTGCCCCTTTTTGACCCCTATGATGTAGGGTATTTCTGAAAATACTTCTATTTAAAATATATGCTTAGTTTATAGTTAAAAAGCCAAAAAGTCTCGCAAAATTAAAAAAAAATAAAAACAAAAATAGACAGCAACAAACAATAAGAAAAAATCATCTACAAAACAAAACCAAATGGTAGCCAAAGAAGTCAAATGTTGTCGCGACGTGAGATTTCAAAATTTTTTAAAAAATATAGAAACAATTTTCGAAATTAATTTTAGAACATTTTAGCTAAAATTATATGTATGTCTGTACTTTAATACTTTATCTACCACAAAAACAAGAATACCAATTTTATTAGCTTTAAAATACATTTTTCAAATATTTTTGTTTATTTAAAAATACAAATTTATATTAAAATTTTACACACATACACAAAATTTAACGTAATTTTGACAAATTCTTCGTGACGTCTTTAATAGATACTATAATTGTTAATTGTTAGATTTAATTTTTTAAATTAAATTTAATTTGTTAGGTAGAGATTGACGACATTTATTAAATGTAAATTTTCGATTTAATTAAAGTTAAATAGAAAATTTTGTTAAATGTGTATTTTTTTTTATATATACTGACCTCGACAGGGGTTGCAGAAATTTCGTATACTTAAACACATGGTTGTTTTAAGAATTTTATCTTAAATATTTATTTGCTTTTAATTTCTTTGGTATGTTTTACTTTTTTTGTATTTATCAATTTAATTTAATTATTAGAGATTTTTATGAAAAACACATTTAAGTTTTATTATTTTATTAGTTTTATAGAATTTTATAGTCATTATAATTTCAACTGTAGAGAAGAATAAAATTTAATTTTTAGCAGTTTTTTTAACATAAAAACAAACAATTTTTAATCAAATCAATGTTTAATTTTGTGAAAGGATTTTAATTAAAATTTAATTAAATGTTACAAAATGACATAATGAATCCAATGGACAATGTTGAGGGCGAAAGGTTTAAGATTAGTTCGAAGGACTATAGTTTAATAAGATCTAATTCAGTTTTAGTTAAGTTCTATTTCAGTTCTAGTTCAGTTCTAGTTCAGTTCTAGTTCAGTTCTAGTTCAGTTTTAGTTCAGTTCTAGTTCAGTTTCTAGTTCAGTTCTAGTTCAGTTCTAGTTCAGTTCTAGTTCAGTTCAGTTCTAGTTCAGTTCTAGTTCAGTTCTAGTTCAGTTCTAGTTCAGTTCTAGTTCAGTTCTAGTTCAGTTCGAGTTCAGTTCTAGTTCAGTTCTAGTTCAGTTCTAGTTCAGTTCTAGTTCAGTTCTAGTTCAGTTCTAGTTCAGTTCTAGTTCAGTTCTAGTTCAGTTCTAGTTCAGTTCTAGTTCAGTTCTAGTTCAGTTCTAGTTCAGTTCTAGTTCAGTTCTAGTTCAGTTCTAGTTCAGTTCTAGTCAGTTCTAGTTCAGTTCTAGTTCAGTTCTAGTTCAGTTCTAGTTCAGTTCTAGTTCAGTTTCTAGTTCAGTTCTAGTTCAGTTCTAGTTCAGGTTCAGTTTCTAGTTTCCAGTTCTAGTTCAGTTCTAGTTCAGTTCTAGTACAGTTCTAGTTCAGTTTCTAGTTCAGTTCTAATTCAGTTCATAATTCAGTTCTAGTTCAGTTCTAGTTCAGTTCTAGTTCAGTTCTAGTTCAGTTCTAGTTCAGTTCTAGTTCAGTTCTAGTTCAGTTCTAGTTCAGTTCTAGTTCAGTTCTAGTTCAGTTTCAGTGCTAGTTCACTTTTAATTCAACAACAAGAAAACACTTATATTTTATGTAATTTTATTCCAATTGAAGATATATTTCAAGATCTTATCTACGGAACCTCTCTCACTTCTATATCAACTTCCTCCTCTTATGCAAAAATAAATGAATTCAGTAGCAAAACCCAAACAACTGGCACAAATGCCAGCAATCCACAAATAAAAGGCTCCTTGTAAGATTTCCATATTCAAAACAACTTTCTTTTTATGTTGTAATGTTGCTGGCATACTGGCACCCACTTCATCATTTTCCAACCAATCAAAATCCTCTTCCAAATCTTGAACAAATTCCGAAGAACGATGGTAATAGTTTTTCTGTCGCGCATCAACCTCAAGCCAATGATTTATGAATCCATACTCATAGAATGAACTTACAATAGTCTGAAATTTATAGATGAAAGGAGAACCTTTGGTCAGCACGTAAGAGGAAGTAAGAGAACGTAAATACTCTTTGACTATGTGGAAAGAAGGACGTTTAGTTTCATCGTTATAGGAATGAGCAACAACTTCTTTGGCTAATTCCCCGTGAAGTATAATGGCCACATTTTTATGTTTTTTCACGAGGGCTAGGGAAAAATCATCAGCACTTATATTGCGTGGAACACGTACACCATTTTTATTGATTATATCAAAGTATTTGGGTTCCAATGAGACCTTTATGGCTTGGAAGACTACATCAAAAGCATAAATGGGTACTTTAAGTTGACACAAATCTTTTAGGTTATCCAATTCCGGTTCATAGATGGGTTGCACAAAACTGCTCTCCAATTTGGCAAAATAAACACTAGTCAAAACATAACTGAATAGAATCCAGGTAATAAGAAATTGCCGGAGAGAGCTAATGCGTGAAAACTCCTCCACCGGTTCTCCCAGTTGAGTTTTTATAAACATTTCCACAATTTCATACCAGCGCCAATGTTTGGGTGAATTCTCAAGATTATGATTGGGCAAACGTTCCACTAGTTTTTGAAGAATTATGAAAATCACAAGAATTAAAAGAAAATTGATTAACAACAAACGCCAAAGGGAATAAGTGAAGGCATTGGCAAATATCAAATACTCGGGACGCATTTCAGCAGCCGGTACCACTAGATATAGCAGGCGCTTTTTATAGGGATATAACTCTTCTATATGAGGCTTAACATGATCTAGGGTGTAACGAAAATTAAAGCCTATATGGGTAAGGCCCGAATGTATATCCTTTAGAGAGCCAGTAAAAGTGCCATTTAACAGAGCGCCATAAGTTTCTCGATCAGTGGGTTCTATATAACGGGCCGAGGCATTTAAACGTTCCACCAAGGTGCGGGCTACCCAGCCGTCGACTCTTTTATAGCCATGTTTGATATGACCCTCCAGAGGTAAGGCTCGCACGCTGTCCTTAAACATGCTAATGCGTAATTCAAAATGATGGAAGTTCCGCAATTTATCATAAAAATAGGGGGCTTCATAGAGAATCTTCAACCGAAATCCTTGTGAAGTAAAAGGCTCAAAAGTATAAATTTCTTGTAAATTCATCACTGCGGCCACTGCATTAAGAATATTTTTAAACCAAACTTTCTCGAAAAATCTTCTCAATGTGTTCACATCATCCAAAAGCCATATGAATAAATAACAATGAGCCGGTTTCCATTTCTGTTTGGGATTCAATAAAGCCAAAACTTTTCGCATAGTTCTATAAGAATCTATAAAATATATACTTAAACTGCTGGCAGATCTTAACGGTTCCACTTGATACTTATCCATGTCCCGTATCACTACCGGTTTCTCAGACATACAATGATAAAATAAATCCCAATTATTTTCATAATTTAAATCAAATACCGAAGAAGTTAACACCTCCGATTCCAAGTTAAGTCTATATATAATATTAACAACAGCATTTTTATTTGTTACAATTTCACAGATTTTCTTATGAAAATGTTGATCTCTTTTGTTAAACTGAAAACCACTTGAGTTTGTAAAACTCCAAAATCCCATCAAAACAATTAGTTTTAATAAATGTTTCATGTTGTTCTTACGCTGGCCAACTAATTTGTTGATTTCATTATTGTAACAATTTAGTTGTACTTGTAGCAAAGATTATCTTGCAACACAAACTTGTTGCATGTTTTTAAACAATTTAACACTATTTTAATTAGCTACCGGTGTTTGTTGGAAATGGTGCTTGGTAGTGGGGATGGTTACAAATATACAAATGCTTTCAGCTGTTGTTGTTTTTGTTGTTCTTTTATTAATTAACAATGTTTGCATAATAAAAATAAATAAAAATGATTTAAAGTTTATTAATTACAACACAACAAAGAAACTTTTTTTTTCGAAATAGAAAAAAGGAAATGTTCTTGTAGTTTCTAGTTTAAATTAGGAAGTAAAGAGGAGTAAGCAACTGGTAAAGAGAGAGAGGTAGATAAAGTGTTACATTACTCATGAGTTATTTGGTATAGGGTTTGCTGTGTCTTGTCTAGTCTATAGTTTAGTTTATAGTATAGCCTATACATAGTCTGGTCTAGTCTAGTCTATAGCCTAGTCTACAGTCTAGTCTATAGTCTAGTCATTAGTCTAGTCTATAGGCTAGTCTATGATCTAGTCTATAGGCTAGTCTATAGGCTAGTCTATAGTCTAGTCTTTAGTCTAGTCTATAGTCTAGTCTAAAGTCTAGTCTATAGTCTAGTCTATAGTCTAGTCTATAGTCTAGTCTATATCTAGTCTATAGTCTAGTCTATAGTCTAGTCTATAGTCTAGTCTATAGTCTAGTCTATAGTCTAGTCTATAGTCTAGTCTATAGTCTAGTCTATAGTCTAGTCTATAGTCTAGTCTATAGTCTAGTCTATAGTCTAGTCTATAGTCTAGTCTATAGTCTAGTCTATAGTCTAGTCTATAGTCTAGTCTATAGTCTAGTCTATAGTCTAGTCTATAGTCTAGTCTATAGTCTAGTCTATAGTCTAGTCTATAGTCTAGTCTATAGTCTAGTCTATAGTTCTAGTCTAGTCTATAGTCTAGTCTATAGTCTAGTCTATAGTCTAGTCTATAGTCTAGTCTATAGTCTAGTCTATAGTCTAGTCTATAGTCTAGTCTATAGTCTAGTCTATAGTCTAGTCTATAGTCTAGTCTATAGTCTAGTCTATAGTCTAGTCTATAGTCTAGTCTATAGTCTAGTCTATAGTCTAGTCTATAGTCTAGTCTATAGTCTAGTCTATAGTCTAGTCTATAGTCTAGTCTATAGTCTAGTCTATAGTCTAGTCTATAGTCTAGTCTATAGTCTAGTCTATAGTCTAGTCTATAGTCTAGTCTATAGTCTAGTCTATAGTCTAGTCTATAGTCTAGTCTATAGTCTAGTCTATAGTCTAGTCTATAGTCTAGTCTATAGTCTAGTCTATAGTCTAGTCTATAGTCTAGTCTATAGTCTAGTCTATAGTCTAGTCTATTCTAGTCTATAGTCTAGTCTATAGTCTAGTCTATAGTCTAGTCTATAGTCTAGTCTATAGTCTAGTCTATAGTCTAGTTTATAGTCTAGTCTATAGTCTAGTCTATAGTCTAGTCTATAGTCTAGTCTATACATCTATAGGCTAGTCTATAGTCTAGTCTATAGTCTATCTATAGTCTAGTCTATAGTCTAGTCTTTAGTCTAGTCTATAGTCTAGTCTAAGTCTAGTCTATAGTCTAGTCTATAGTCTAGTCTATAGTCTAGTCTATAGTCTAGTCTATAGTCTAGTCTATAGTCTAGTCTATAGTCTAGTCTATAGTCTAGTCTATAGTCTAGTCTGTAGTCTAGTCTGTAGTCTAGTCTATAGTCTAGTCTATAGTCTAGTCTATAGTCTAGTCTATAGTCTAGTCTATAGTCTAGTCTATAGTCTAGTCTATAGTCTAGTCTATAGTCTAGTCTATAGTCTAGTCTATAGTCTAGTTTATAGTCTAGTCTATAGTCTAGTCTATAGTCTAGTCTATACATCTATAGGCTAGTCTATAGTCTAGTCTTTAGTCTAGTCTATAGTCTAGTCTAAAGTCTAGTCTATAGTCTAGTCTATAGTCTAGTCTATAGTCTAGTCTATAGTCTAATCTATAGTCTAGTCTATAGTCTAGTCTATAGTCTAGTCTATAGTCTAGTCTATAGTCTAGTCTATAGTCTAGTCTATAGTCTAGTCTATAGTCTAGTCTATAGTCTAGTCTATAGTCTAGTCTATAGTCTAGTCTATAGTCTAGTCTATAGTCTAGTCTATAGTCTAGTCTATAGTCTAGTCTATAGTCTAGTCTAGTCTAGTCTATAGTCTAGTCTATAGTCTAGTCTATAGTCTAGTCTATAGTCTAGTCTATAGTCTAGTCTATAGTCTAGTCTATAGTCTAGTCTATAGTCTAGTCTATAGTCTAGTCTGTATAGTCTAGTCTATAGTCTAGTCTATAGTCTAGTCTATAGTCTAGTCTATAGTCTAGTCTATAGTCTAGTCTATAGTCTAGTCTATAGTCTAGTCTATAGTCTAGTCTATAGTCTAGTCTATAGTCTAGTCCATAGTCTAGTCTATAGTCTAGTCTATAGTCTAGTCTATAGTCTAGTCTATAGTCTAGTCTATAGTCTAGTCTATAGTCTAGTCTATAGTCTAGTCTATAGTCTAGTCTATAGTCTAGTCAATAGTCTAGTCTATAGTCTAGTCTATAGTCTAGTCTATAGTCTAGTCTATAGTCTAGTCTATAGTCTAGGCTATAGTCTAGTCTATAGTCTAGTCTATAGTATAGTCTATAGTCTATTCTAGAGACTAGTCCACCCATTTTGTCCTCCAATGTTCATATGGATGTCAAGGTTGGTCATACAAAATTTGAGAACTACAGCTATCGCTGTTTCTGAAATGTGCGACTTTTAAGACTTGTATGTGGGACCGACCGATAAAGACCTACATATATCCAAATATCCATATTTTTATCCCTCGGAAAGTTTTTTAATTTGTTTATAATTGAAACCCCTAATCGTAATAAACTTTAGTCAAGTAGAGGTTGAAATTGGAAAACAATGTGTCTGTAGCTACAATTAAATTATCTATGTTACTGGCTAATTTACGTTTAAATTACAACTTCGTGTTGGAAGCAAAGTGTCTCTTTAGACACAAAAATATTAAATAATTTCTTTTCAAAACCAGACATTAAGAAAGGCCGTTGGAAAATGTGTAGCTAGACTTAGAGATGAATCACTTATAAAGTAATTACTAAAGAAGATAATTATATATTTTAATACTGATTTAAAAAAATGTGTAAATTGTCATCAATGTGTAAGTAATGAATAAAGCTATAATTACAAAAATAGAAAATTTTAAATTTAGAACACATTCTTCAAATTCCTTTACATCTATATGTACATATGTATGTATATGCAATGTAATCTATTAGAATGTCTAAAATTTATTTTCATTTTCTGGATGTAATAAAATTGCAACATTTGTAATGCTATTTTTAAGAATAACAACAAAATTTGGTCAAAAATATACATAAATTTTCAATGAAAAGAATAATACACACAATCATTGTCTTCTAAGTCATTTACGATACTAAACAAAAATACATATAAAAACAACAAAAAAGATCATTCCCAGACACCATCAAATGTGATGTAATTTAAAACATGACAATGCAAATGTACGAAAAAAAAAACAAGAACTAAATGTAAAGGGTGTCATATTGGGCTATAATGAATCGTTTTAACTCTACATTGATTTAATTCATAATGGAGGTGCCACGCCCCTTATTTTTTATCCGCCAATATATTACCCAAAGATTCACAGGGATGTCAAAGTTGTTCATGCAAAATTGGAGGTTTAGAGCTCTAATAGTTTCCCAGATATTCGTACTTGAATCAAGTATTTTGTGCTTGATTTAAGAACAACCACAGTTCTGACACTGTACCTGATTGATTTGTGAACGGACCGAAAAACATGTATGGTACAAATTTCATCCAAATATCTTGAAAACTAAGGCATGTCTGATGGACATGTCTTATTCGACTTAGAAAGTGATTCTAAATCGATCGGTATACATTAAGGACCAACATTTATGGGCAAAAATCAGCACAAATTTCTAATAACGTCCCCACCTTGTTGATGTAGGGTATAATAAGAGAAAGAATGATAAATGTTAAAAATAAGAATCGAAATAAACTTGAGATATCAACATATTAAGTGAATATACACTCGAAAATTGTAACTAAAGAGGGAAGTTTGAAAAGTTAATTAAAAAAGAAATAATATAAATCTAATACAGAACTTTAAATATACTGCTTCTAGCACCTATTGTTTTCCTTTGATTCAGTATATCGGTTGAAAATTTTTCGAAGATACTGAAACTGAAAGAAAGTCAGATGTTTGATTCATATGAAGTTAGTATTATGATCCCATAGTTTCATGTGATAGAATAAATAAACAAAAATATTACAATAACTTTTTAGTCCTACCTCGTATTTACAACTAGAAATTTTTGTATTTAAATGTATAAATATATGCATATATAGAAATCTTTTAAAAATACTGAGGGACGACTTTAGGGCAGAACAGAAAAATACAAATATTTTTAAGACAAACCGAATATTTGTTGCAAACACACATCATACATATAGTTTACATGTGTTTAGTTGTTGCAATTGCTGCTATTTGATGTGAGAAGCATGTGAAATTAAATTATTCACTGTATAACAGCAACAGTAGCAGCAGCAGCACGAACAACATCACATATTTTAATTTTGAACAAAAATTATACAAATAACAACAACAGCAAAAAATAGATATTTAACCAAGTACAAATATGCAAAAATTTTGGTTAGAACGAGAGAGAGAGATAGAGAAAGAAATTAAAGCAACTTAAAACTGTATTAGAATTAAATATGATGCAAATCAATTTATAAGCACAGTGGGCCATGAATGGTGCTTAAATTGCTTTCAAGTATTAGAGTTTTTCGGTTAATTCAGGTCATTTTGTCTATTAAGTTCTGGCAGTGTTAAAGAAAAGATGTTTCCAAAAAGTTTTCTAAAGAAAAC